GGGGGGAGGGCAAATGCCCCTCCTTGCCCCTTTCCCTCTCTTGCGGACGCCCATGCCGTTATCTCGTTATTTACTTAAACTGTATTTACTCTAAATCTTCAATGATCACTATTACCACTCCGAGCACTATCATCGCACACAATCGCGGCGGGCCCATCGATAATCTCGACTGAATATTCCAATTATACTCGCACAGGGCCGACACTCTCTCGCGCCACGATAATGCAATCCACATGTAATTAGGAAGATCCGCAAATCCATCATCTACTACGAGGATCGAGGGGCTATTTGCAGTTTGCGGTGCGCTAATAATAACTTTCGGGCCGAGCAATCGGGCCGGGTGGTGCATACGGTGCTTCGTAAATTAGCGAAACAGAGACTAGCGATAGGAGGCGAGAGAAAGAGAGAACGAGAGAGAGAGAGAGCGAGAGAGGGGGGGGGAGGGGAGGAGAGAGAGAAAAGCGTTCATTGCTAGGTCCTAGGACAAACCCTCGAAGGGCCAGGACAAGAGAGAAAGAGCGGCGTCGCGAGCGGGGAGAGGGGGGGGGAGAAGAGAGAGAGACAGAGAGACAAGGGGCCCTTGTAATCGGGTTGTCGAAACGGGCTCCGTGCGCCTCGTCGAAACTCAGGGTGAAGAGACCCCCATGGTGCTGGTGCTGGTTTCCTACTGCATAGCTGAGGGTTGAAATCGATACCGTTTCCAGGGTAACCAGTACGGCTACGGTGCCCGACACACGGGCGAAGGCACACGGGCCAAGGCTACCTACTCATGCATTTTCATGTGCCTGCCGAAAAAGGCCAAAGACAAGAGAGTTGTTGGCGCTCGCTTGATGTCGATCCGCTCGCGCGAGTGAGCGGGAGAGGGGGAGGGGGAGGGGGCGAGTTCGCGCGAGTCGGGTGACGAGGATTCTCTGATCCTGGCGGAAATTTCAAAAGAATTCAATTTTCCAGAAGCGTGGCTCTCTTCACGCTTATCTGAACTTTCTGTAAAAAAAATGTGATTTGGATGTATACATCTATTAATTTAATTTTGAATATTATAATCACATTCTTTTCTACCTCTCTCTTTCTCTCTCACTTGTCTTATGCTCTTTCACACTGCGGAATTGACTGCCGACGTTTATAACGAAGTACGGTAAAACAAAAAATTGCTTTCTTTTCAGTTAGTTTTTTTTTTTCGTTTGAAATCTGTGAACTCGTTCCGCTGTGAATTTTTGAGCCAAATATTGAAGCCTATAACTTCGGTGTGTTCAGATTTATTTTTCGATTATGTACAGGTGAAAAAAGAATATACCTCACAGATTCTGTCACTTTTTTATTGCCAGGGTTAAAACAAGAAACTATTTCCATGTGTTTGTAGCATGTGATATCTAAATTGATCTTCACACACACTTGACTTTTATATTCTATAATGATTTAATCCTGCACTTTTGTAATTTTTTATAAGACGTTCTTGCTTATGTTAGATTTGCGATCTCTTGCTTACGATTGAAATGTATTAGTAAAATTGCATATCTTAATTCACATTAAGTTATGTAGTATTTAGATTTTAGAAGATATTAATTTGCTTACACGTTACTCATTACGTTATTTTTGATAGTTTACGCTGTTTACAGATACGGTGAAGAAATAAAGAAGGAATATAACCGCGTGAAAACTTGTCTCATATAGAAGATTAAGATTTAATTTTAAATTTAACAATATATATATTATAATATATTATATATTATTATATATTATATTATTATAATATATATAATAATATAGTATATGTATATATATATGTATACATATATTAAATCTATGTTCCTTCATTATATTTTTACATTTTTTCTCTTTATCTTCAAGTTAATGAGAGATATCTATTAATCAAGTGACTTATTATATAAATAAATAAGGTTTTAGTCCTGTAATTAAAATGAGGAAGATATTGGGCAGATGGTGAGCAACAGAAGAAACAAGCATATAATATTCCTTTACATCGCTCGCGATGGGGCCCTCGTTATCTGGGGCGGATCCGTATGGCACCTGCTCCATTTGTCCGCGTTGGAAGATATCGCGGATTGTTCGCCGCGTTTTATCGCAAGGACGGCCCTGGCGGTGTTATCACTGAAAAATGGCCGCGCTGTTGCGAGGAGGAGAACGGACCACCCGGTTCGGAACTTAATGCGTTACTTTGCGCGCGCGGCAGCGGTGACGGTGGCGGCGACGACCCTTTCTACTCTTGTTTCGCTATACCTTTTCCGCTTTCATCACGAAGTTCGGCCCCTTCAAGAAACCGCAATTTCGAAACACCGCGGTCTTTGAAGACTCGCGGCCGTCTTCACGACTCGATAATTATCGTCGAGGGAACGGTATTGGGGCACGTCCTCTCTCTTCCTCTCTCTTTCTCTCCAGCATACTTTCCATTAGCGTGAGATATTATACGGAAAAAGAGAGAGAGAGAGGGGAGGAGAGGAAAAAAAAGCAGAAAATAAAAACCGTGCCACAATTCGTGAGCTCGTAATTGATTCTGAAACGCGCGGGATTCCCCGCGGCCGCGTTAGCGTATTATTTCAGCGTCGCATATCGCAACGCAGCTCCGCGAATGCGATACATCGAATGGCAAAATTACTATTTCGACGCGCGGAGCCAATTACCGTAACCAACGATGTGTTGTAACGATTGCATGTAGTTACGCACGAGGGGATCGACTACAAACATCGTTTTTTTCGGTTACAACCGCTGTAAACAACGTTATGTTTATTTAACCGCGTTTTGCAAAAAAAATTTAGGAGATAGGTGATCGCGGTCGAGTAATTGTCAGCTATTCGCACAAATGTGATGGTCGTTTAATTAATGACCGTTCGTAAGTCGCGGGGAATATAAAAACAATATAAATGCATAATATAACAAAGGAGAATATATGAAAAAAGCCATAAAAAAGGGAATTAAAAATTTACACTTTAAATCCAACCGCTGGATTATCATACGCAATTTTTCGAGCAGACGTGTATTTCTGTACGAATGTCATTTTTAACTTGTAAAGCAAGAATTGTGAAAATAAATCCGAGCTTACAATGTTGTACATTTAAAAAATTATTCTTTGGCGGATTGCACTTTTCGTTAACGCTCAAAGTTGACTGACCGTAATGTTAAATTATATTTTAATATAAATTAGCGGGGAGAAAGAGAGAGAGAGGAAGAGAGAGAGAGAGAGAACGCCACGCGCTATTGTAATGCGCCATTTCCGAGCACTGCTTTATAGGGATTTGTGTTTCGTGTTGCAGCGGAAATCTAAATAAAATAATTCTAATTGGCGATAAACTATCGCTCTTTCTGGAATATTGTAATATGCCAGATTGTACTATACTGTATACAGTTATTCTATACAATAACCGCAATAACAATAAACGCATTTGATAACTGGAATAGATTCCAAATGCGCGGCAGAATTTATAATTCGCCCATTCTCTTTGCTGTTCCCCTTGGCACAGAATTAAATATTTCGATAACTAAAGCCGCGAGGTAGTATAATATTTAACAAACATAAAATTCGAAAGAACCGAAATGTTTTAATCAATTCTGGTCTCCCGCGGCTCAAAATTTGGAAGCTGACGTATCCTGCAGTAATCGGTTTTAACTCGGATGAACCGTTAACGCGCAGCATTTTTACGAAGAGGAAATCTCTTCCTGTTACGGGGGAGGAGGGGTGGAGGAAATTCCGTTAAGGTATCTGGTTGATAACAAACGCGAGCGGCGTGCAAGGAGCGTGAATTTAAGGAGATGTGACGGGAATCGAGGACTTTTCGCCGTCGTCTCGGAGGAAACGACTTCCGTCTCGACGCGGCGCGGGTCGCCGCCGCTGCACGTCGAACAAAACATTCCCTCTACTAAAGGGAGTATCTCCTGCGAGAAGCTCGCAAGTCGCGCACACGTGATCCCTCGGTGTCTCGGCGGAGGTATATTTGCACGGGTGCCTCGTCGTCGCTCCTTTACTCCCCTCGGAGTGGTGCTCCATATAGAGCGGTAACATGATTTCTTTGTTACCTCTTATTGCCGTCGCGACTGCAGCGGCTGCCGGGAGAGTCCGTATCTACAGGTTGTTGATTTTGTCATGGATGCAGACATTTCAACTTCTGCTCCACTGCAGCAGCCTCCCACCCTTCCTTCCCGCGGCTCCCTGTCTCCCCTTTGTCTTCGTCATCCATTTCCGTCCGTTCTGTTCCTCCCTCGTCGTTCCCCTTCCCGCTGAATCGTCTCGATTTCTTGCATATAGGTAGGTACAAGGAGAAGATCAATTCACTGCAGCGGACTCTCACTTCTTCATCGACTGCCATTGGCCGGGATCGGTTCTTCCGACATCCTCCGGCATAGGGGACGGAAAGCTTCTTTAATTGGCAAAAGGAGTCGCGTCTCTCATTTTTACGATCTCGGGATAAATCTCGATTCGCGCACTACTCAGTTCTCAAATTACACTGGAATCGCAGAACGTTGCCTTTTTTGTCGGGAATGCAAATGAAACATGCGGCGCGTTAATCAAGGTAGGCCAAACCATGGTTTTTTTTTAAATAAAAACGATTAGTATTTATACAATTTTATAATAAAGTCCTACGATTAATCATGAAAGAGTTCTCTCGTTTAGAATTAGAAATAAATTTAAATAATGCGTGTATACGTTGTTTATATACCGAAATAAATATACAAATACCGCGGGTTATTAAAATGTTACTAGATGCAATGACCACTTTGTTAAATATATTTTGTCAAACCAATGCTTTTATTAATTCCCATAAAGTTTGAAAAGTGGCGTGGCGCAGGCACAACAATGTTATTTCGGGAATCGCTCCAATTACGCAGGAAACAAAGTTGGTAATAATTCTATTTGGAAATATTTCGCCGGGGTATATATGCGGACCTATACGAAATTCGGAGATTTCTGTAATTCAGACAATAACGCTTTGCGGTCCCTTACGCCTCCGTAATTTAGAACCACAAATAAATAACTCATTTAAACGCATGCATCGCATCGCGCTACTTGAACGTCGAATAATTTAACGATAAACGGGACATCAGTAATGAATGTCAAAGTCCAAACAAATCAAAGATCTCGAACGTATACGAATCGGGAAATTGTATATTAAAATTTACGTTTAATCCCAACGCGAGCTGGGATTCAACGTCAATTTCCAATATCAATTTTCAATGTTTTCACAATATTATAGTAGAAAAATATGAAACCATATACAGAAGTATAATCTGGAAAAATAATTCTATTGGAATAAAGGAGAAAGAATGGGATTGAAGAATAAAATTGTATAATTAATACTTATACAAAATTTCCCATCTATCGTATAATATATCCTATTATCTTCTCGCGAAATCGAATTCTTCGATTAAGGGACATTGGCGTTTATTAGTTTTATTGAAAAAACGATAACGACTATGGCAAGCTGACTATCGCAATTAAGCATCATCCGATTGCTAGAAATATACGGAATCGCATTGTATTACATAATATTATCGATATCTCTACAGCGCAAGAGTTTTTCAATAATTAAAATAATATCTGTCATATTTACCTACGATTTGTTCTCTTGTTGTACATTTTACGAGTATGTTTTTTTAAAGATTTTTCTATCCCGGAATAACAGACGCACTTCTTCTCGTCGAGAATCGAGCGAATCGGACAAACTGTCGATCGTACATCTGTTAAAGAAGATATAAAAGAGAGAAATTAAAATTAAAATTAAGCGCATACATTTGTCACGAGGCGTGTTTATTTAGCCGCAACATCGAGCATACCGGTTAGGCATTGACCGAGTTAATTGAAATCCTCGCGGCGGTCCGCGCGTTAATTGCCTAATCGAATCGCGAAAGTCGCGCGGCCCCGGCGAAGCGTGAGCCGCGTCGCGTCGCGCCGCGTTTGAACCCGCGGCGTTCCCGCCACATTATCGACTGGCCGCGGCGCGCATGTGAATGCGCCGGCGAGCGGGCGGCCGCGCAGCGATTGGTCGGCGGGGTGGCGGACGGCGGCGTTAACACCGGCCGACGCGCGCCGCCATCTTGCTTCGCGAGCGAGGCGAGCGAGCGAGCGACCCACCCAGCGGCGGCGGACAGCAGTAGTACGCTGCGCTCTCGGTGGTATCGCGACACGGGTGTATCGCGCCGCGCCGCAGATCTCGGGACCGCGCATATATAAGTATCATATATACGGACGAGTAAACGACGAGTCGATTGCCGTACCGTGCCGTTTCGCTCGTCGGCACACGACGAAAGTTGCGTGCTACGCACGTCGGCGCTCATCGCGTCCGCGGGCAGAGAGGCGGAAGGGAGTTCGGGGCGAAGGAGAGAGAGAGAAGGATCCTACCGCGAGAGAATTCGCCAGGTACCTTCGGAGCGGACACACTCGAACGTGAATCGTGGGATCGTAAGTGGGCCGGGAAGAGGAAGAAGAGGATGAAGGGGATGCTGGCGCTGGCCGCGCTACTCGGCGTCCTGTCGGTCTGCCGGGTACAGGTAAGAATCCCATATCACATTCCTCCGTGTTCCTCTCGGAGCACATCTCACACTCTCTGTCTCTCTCTCTCTCTCTCTCATTTTTTCTTTTTTTCTCGCGTTCATTTTCGTTCTCGTACTTTTCCTCACCGGCACAAGCGGTGGAGTTGGAGTCGCGAACGGACGTATATCCGCGGCGACAGCGAGCTCGCTTCCTCGTCGAGCTCACGCGACGCTTTCACCCTTGAGAGCCAGGGAAATGTCAGGCGCAGCAAGGCGCCTCCGACCGCGCGCGATCGATGTATGTAGTGTGCCGCGAACTCCGCTTTTCCCTTCGCTCCGAAAATCAACGTGCCGACGTACTCCGCACTCCGCCGCCGCGCGATCCCGGCCCGCTCTGCCATGGCGGCTGTCAAACGGCCCCCGATCAATGACCGTGATGCCGATCGGCACATAGCACCTGCTCTTAAATTCCGGTCCCTGTTTCGCGAAATTTACGAAGATCACGTAACACGCATAAAAAATCCTTACTCCGTACGGTCTTTTTAATTGTGTCAGAGGACTTGACATAAAGAAATTATCGATGCAATATTTATTTGGTACATTATTATGATTTACTTGGTATTTCACTTCATTCATTTTACGGGAAGCGTAATCCTTGCGAATATCGTAAAACGCATTTTTAAGAATGTCCGAGTTTAGAAAAAGTCCGGTTTCGATATAACATCGGAAAATAAAATCGATTGCACTCAACGAGAGCGGGACTCTGTATTATAAAGTCGCAAATAGCGTGAAAGAAGGGCTAACGTGATCGTTTCGAGGCGCAATTGTATATCGAGCCAATATTTATAGCGGCTGTAACGTCGGGGAGCGCGATATAAAACGCGAGGCAAAACGCGGTTTCACGTTTTCGCAGTTTGACTCGAACCGCATATTTTCCGCCTAGTGCCGCAAGTCTCATGGGTTCTCTTCTGAAACTCCGGGGCTCCGATGGCGCAAAGAGGCACACACGCGACGCTGGACGTTCATCGTCCATGGAAATTTTAACACGCCCGTGCCCTCCGCGCGCGCGTGTATATGTGTGTATGTGTGCGTGCATGCATGTGCGTATGTGTGTGCGCGTGTAGGCATTCGGTGTGGGTGGTGAGAGACCGTGGGCCGTGTAAAGAAGCGACTCGAAGTCCTCGATATACCGATCGATTTGACTCTCTCTCTCCGTGCTGCACGTCTCTTTTATCATTATTTTAGAACGATTCATTCGAGGCTGAAAGACAGAAATTGCTGCGCGAGCTTCTACCATGGATATAAAAACACGTTTCAGTCATACATTTTTCATAGTGATATTGCGATTCGCAAAAATTGAATATTACAAAAAATAGACAGAGACAGACAGAGATAGATAGATAGATAAGAGAGAGAGAGAGAGAGAGAGAGGGGGGGGGGAGGGAAGAGAAAGGGAGAGACGCTGTAAATGCCAGATCTCATTAAAGAGTCGTGATTTGTTTTTGCTTTTTGTTGTATACTTGGCTTGTTACGTGAAAGCGACACGCTGCAGTAGAGAATTAATTGACGCTTCTTTCTGTAAATGCAGTTAAAGGCTGCGAGGAGGATATTTGTAATTGAATTATAGCCTCGCCGCATTTTTTTGCCGCAGCCGCACGTCAAGGATATTTTTCTTTCGCGTTTCGCGCCGATCTCATTCTGAAAATCAGGAGCGATTCACTCATCGATTCACCGGCGCGCGATTTAATTCGTTTTTCTTTCCGATCTGTGCGCAATTCCCTCCCGTTGCGACCGACCGGCCGTAACCGCGCATCTCTATTAATATCGTCCCATTACCCTCGGTAATAATTAACAGTGCCCCGTGTAACAATAATGTAGTTTTGAAAGCGACCACTTCTGTGTAACGCGCGATAAAACATCGCTACGAACGGCATTAATATAACAAACCATTTGCGTAATCGCGACCGTATCGCCTGGGTCCCACCGAAATCGATCCCTTATAATTCGAAAATGATCTACACCCACGGACGCGGTCGTCGGACCATTACGTTCAGCGGGTTCGCGCGGGGGGGTGGGGGGTGAGGCGTTAATTGCGCATCTAGCATAATGAAACCGCGATTCGATACGCGGGAGAAGCGCTTTTTAACTACAACGCGCAACATTCGTCGTCCGACCGCATGTATAGCCCGACCTCTAATGCCGGTGACCATCTCGCGATTAACTCAACTTGCGGCAAAAATTTACAGTTAATCCGCGTGTGTAATTTCGTGCTTCGCGCACGTCGTCGCTACGTGACGTATAACTCAAATTCACGTTGGTCGCACCGTAAATTAACAGGGGCGTTTCACAGAGACGGTATGAATTATACTCCCATGGAAGTTTGGGGCATGTCGCGCGATATAGAATTCAATGTGGGGCGTTTCAATAACGGTGATAATATAATAATAGTTAATGAATTAATAATAGCGCGATATTGGCACGCGTGAATTTTTCTAAATCATAACGCGTCCGCGGGCCGTGTATTAATTTAATGAGAGATCTCCGATAGCAATGCAAATAATACTAACTGAGGTAACGTGAAAATTTAGGCTTCGCGTGTTGCACCGTAAATTAACGGAGTCGGTTTCCATAACTGGAAATTAATTCGCGCTCACGGAAATTTGGGGGGGTTTGTCATGCCGTATATAATTCGGACGTGGGCGTTCTGATGACGGCATTAGCGATATTAACTCACGAAAATTTAGGATCGCGGCTTTGTCATTCGAGGCGTATCTTCCGCGTGCAATAAATAATCCGCTCGCGTACACGCGGGGGGAAGGGGGAGGGGGTCGATACTATCGACTTCCTTTATTTAATCACGAGTAAAATCCATTCTCTCGGTTTTATTACTCCAGCTGTGCGTACCGGGCGACGGTTAATTTTTCCGATACTCCAACGCTGCTGCGTCGCCATTTAAATCTGCTCCGGCCATTTAAAAGCGTCATTTAAATCAGTCACGAGGCAAAAGTGATCGTCATCGCATTAATATCTCGCATATGCCTGGTGGTGGTGTCACGCCCGTTTCACGCACGCGGCCATGCGTGCATCCAACTTGTTATATTGACGCATATATGGCGTATCGCTGTAAACAGGCCTTTTTGTCGAGGAAAAAAAGAGGAATTCATTTAAAAGCATTCGATAGCGATGCGAGATTTTCAATCGCTTTCGCTATCGGAAACATCTGCTATTTGATATTCTCTATTTCCGCGCCTCGTTGCACGGTTTTTTTTTTATACAGACGCACGATTATAATCTTTGAAAAATTGCGAGAGATTGCCGTGGAGCTCTCTTTCATTAAATTACCGGCATTTAATGCGGTGAATTTAGATTGTTTCATTTTATTGCGCAAAGTATCCGAAAATTGCTTGGACGAATATTTTCGTGAGGCAATTTATAATTGATGTAGAATAAACGTTTTCTTAATGAAAATATCCTGAAAATTTTAAAGTTTTTCATAACTTCGATGTGCACTTTCTTGAAAGAGAACAAAAATTATTTTAAGCTGGGTACATGTGGCGACGAAAAATTCTGTAACGCTAAGTTATTAGCGCGGATCACGGGTGGGAATTACGTTGCGGTTGGTTACAGTGTGTGTGTGTGTGTGTGTGTGTGCCAGATGACTTATGTCATGTCATGTAAAAGAGGTTTTTCAAGCAAGTGCATAACAGCGGACGAACCGCGCGTGTCGTATATGATTAGCATTTTAGTATCATCTTCTAGTAATTTTGGAGTAACCGTGCGAAAAAAAAGATTCAATTTTATATTACGAAGGCGACTTCATAAGATGGAAATTACAAAGAATGATATTAATTTTTCTTATTCCTTATGTAACGTAGACTCGCCGTTATTGACTGACTATTCAACAATCATTTAATTTTTATTGAAAAAAATGTAAATAATGTATTTTCAATTGAAATATTTTTTAATAATACATATAGTGTGAGGTTTTATACAATTTATTCTAATTGTTGAATAAATTGATTAAAACATCGCACTATATGTATTATTAAAAAACATTTCGATTGAAAATACATTATTTACATTTTTTTTTCAATAAAAATTAAATGACTGTTGAATAGTCAGTCAATAACAGCGAGTTTGCGTTAGGAATAAGGAATAAGAAAAATTAATATCATCCTTTGTAATTTCCATCTTATGAAGTCTTCATATATGTATATATGTGTGTATGTATGTATGTATATATTACGATTTCTCTGATTCTATTTGAATTTGTATTATTGTGTGAAACACAGAAATTCGTGAATTTCAATTAAATTATTAAATTATTATATATCGACTATCGTATATTATTATCAGGTAATTTTTCCTTTCTGCGGTTGATATCGTTATTGTAATTCACCTTTATTACATATTTTGTTTTGTGTGATATAATTTACGTTTTTCAAAGCAAGTTTCTCCGTTTCCTTTACGCGCGCACAAATTATCGCGATATCCAATTTGCTCAGTATATTAATGGCGTAACATAACAGGATGCGTGCAAAAGCGTCGCAACGATTAATTTACATATATAATTCTATGTTAGAATTCAATTTAATATTGCACTTGAATTCATCCATTCTAAATCTATTCTCGCAACGTTTAGCGTCTAATTGCATGTGTAATTCTACCTTACAAAGCTGCGCTGTGTGTCAAAAGAGGAATGTCGGAAGCATCGTCTCTTTGACTTGAATTAGAGAGATGGTAAAACCTCAGATTACTCTCAAGATGATTATTTGCATGAAAACGAGGCTGTGCAAAATATCGCAAAACTATACACTTTAAATATGAAATGCAAAAAAGTCTGAGAGAGAGAAAGTTCTAAAAAATATATATTTATCAGACAATGCAAAAGAATTCTCTTAACTGGGCGCAATATAAAATGCGCGTGTTAAAAAAAGCTTGACCTAGTGTATAAAATATAAGACAATATTTTTAAAAACTAAATAAAGTTGATATAAATATATCGTACGGTATTTAAA